CAGGCTCCTCTCTGCCCCAGACTCAATTTCCCCTTCTGGCTACCAGAGGACGTTGTTAGGATGGGGGCAAAGGGCCAGCATAGGCACAGATAAAACAGCCCATGTGGGCTTCAACCAGCGTCTCTGCATTCCAGCAAATGCCTGGGCTCCAGATGCCTGGGATCCACATTGGCTTTGTTCCCAAGTTGGCCCCATTCACATATGTCTCGCACTCCTCATTCAGAGGGCATGAACGGGTTAAATGCACCCCCCCCCCCAGGAAGTGGACATGCTATCCATACAGACCCCTGCTGGTGGCCTGAGACAGCAAGATTTTGCTGCACTCCAGAGTACACACACACTGTGTGTGGGGCGGGGGAGACACAGGTGACCAGGCGTTGGGGGCGGGGCCAGAGGAACTGGGTGAGGAGGGGGGAACCAGAGGCATACAGGTGGGGAAATTCTGGGTGGGAACACTGCCTCCTGGCCATGTCTGAGCTTCAAAGAGGAAGGGGAGAAAAGGTGTGTGTGTGTGTGTGTGTGTGTGTGTGTGTGTTGGGGCATGGGGCACAGAGAGCCAGAGGAAAGTGAGGAGATCACGAACAACTGAAGCATGAGAGTTTGGGGGAGTTGGTCTCCATGCCCCCACTCTGCAGATAGGTGGGAGTTGGTGAAAAGGCCCATTTATAAGACCAGATTATTGAGGACCTTACAGACTGGGCTTGAGGGTTTGCATCTTACTCTGACAACCAAGAGCAGGCACTGATGGGATGCCCCCAGGGGCACAGACAATCACGTTTGCATCTAGACCCATGCTTCTGACCACGGCGTGGAGAGCAGACGGGGCTGGCACCATATGTGGCTGGAGGCTGGGACTGCTCTGCAGGCAACAGGGTGTATTAGATTTATACACCGGGTGACAAATTACCACAAACTTAGAGGATGAAAACGAGACACATTTATTAGCTCACTAAAAGAGCAATCTGGACGTGGCTTAGCTGGGTCTTCGGCCTAAGGTCTCAGTAATCTACACTCAAGGTGGCATTTTTGGGCTGTGCTCTTTTCTGGAGGCTCGACTGGGGGAGACTCTGCTTCTGTGCTCTCTCAGGTCACGGCACAATTCTTCCCCTTGCTGCCGCATTGCCGAGGGCATGCTTCTCACCGGCCGTCTGCTTAGGTCTTCAAGGCCGTCCGCAGTTCCTGGCCGCAGATCCTCTCTCTAGGCAGCACACAACCCAAGCTAGTGTGGGGCAGCCTGTCCTTGCATTTCCCTCCCAGCACCTCTCTTTCTCCCCCCATTCCTTCCACCTCCTTGCTCCCCATTCAAGGTGGTAGCTCTGGGCCCTTGCGTGGGGGAGAACCACGTAGGGCAGCACACAGAATGTGCTCACGAGCCTTTCCCCAGCTCTGGGTTCCAAAAGCCTAAGCTCTCCCTTGAGGTTGAAGAAAAGGATGCAGGGCACAACGTGTTCATGGAAATAAGGCTTCTCCGCAGCACCCCTGTGACACAGTCCTGGATGTGGCCACCTACGTCAGCCCCGGGGCCAGGAAAGGTGTCCCTGCCTTGGCCGAGGGTCTGGAACTAGGGCCTTCTGCTACTGAGTTCCGCACTCCTGACACCAGGGTTCCGGGCATGCCCAGGGTGTCCAGCAGGGTTCCGGCAGGGTTCCGCAGGAGAAACAGAGCCAGGGTGTACGTGTGTACGGAGAGCCACAGAGATATATCCATATGTGGGTGTGTAATGCGGAAGCCAGTTCCTTACATCTTTTTATGTAAGTGTTATTATGAGATTTACATAAACCACACGGTGCAGGGTAACTATGGAGCGAGAGCAAGAGAGCGCGCCAGGAGCTCGTGGGTACCGCGGGGGCTCGGAGGAGACAGCTGGGAAACGTGCGGGGGCGGCCGGCTGGCCCGTTGCCACCATCCCCAGGCGGAATTTCTCCTTCAGGGAACCCTCCGTTGTGCCATCAAGGCCTTCGCGGGGGGATGAGGCCCGCCCACGTCACTGGCGGTGCCCACGCGGACGCCGCGAGGGTTGAATCACGGGGGGCTAGAGCCTGGCCGCGCTGGCACGGGAGGGGGGCCCTCACACCGGGCGCAGGAGCTGCGGAAAGACGGGTCGGACGGACGGGCACCGGAGTCTCCGCCTCGGGGACCGTGGCTTCCGGGGCCACCAGCCTCACCCTTGCTATGGCCCGTGGTTCTGCCCTCCCGCTCTGGCCCTTCGCCCCTCGGCTTCCCGTGGCTGCCGGGCGCGCGCGGGTGCGCGGGTGCATGTGGGGGGCGCGCGCGCGCGTGTGGGTGTGTGCAGGGGAGGCCGGGGTTACGGAGCAGGCCACCCGGTCCCCAGGGCTCAGGACTCGCGGCAGGACTTCCGGCCAAGCCCCGGGGGGCTGAGCCAGCCGTCGGACATCAGAGCCCCTCTCCGCCGAGCAGCCGGGCTCGAGGGGAAGAGAAGAGGAGACCCCAGCGTGCTTCCCACCCTAACAGCCGCCTGGTAGCTAAGGCTGGGCCCGGAACTCTGCGCGCCAGGAGGAATGCTTCTACCGCGTAGACGCTGCCTGCCCGGAGCTCCCCTACCTGTCCGAGCTGCCCATCTCCGTCTCTGCGGGCTGTGCACGCCGGAGCCCGCTCGCGCCGGCCGACCGCACACGGATCCTCGATCCCCGGCTCAGGGCTCCCCGCCTGAAACCAGCCACGATGGGAAGATTTACACCGCAGTGATCAGCAAACGCTGCCAGTGAGCTCCCGGCGCTGCGCTGTAAAGTCCCGGGGCTGCCTCCGGGCACAAGCCGGAGCCGCCCCCAAGTGCACCCCCTCTAGGAACCACAGCCCTGCTGTGCCCCCCGTCGTGTAGGCGGCAAGTTCAGTCTGGTATCCGATGCACTCCTATGGCTGGAACCCGAGTCCCCGTGGTCCTCTTTAAACTCCGACGGTGGCTTCTGGGTGTGCTGGGGGGACACTGGGGCATCCACGAACATCCTCTGCTCCGTGGCCGGTCCCCGGAATGTCCCACGCTTGCCCCTCTGGCCAGGACGCTGACCAGCCCCCCACCACGCACACACTCTCGGCTCACCCTGCAATGACAGGTTTGTCTCCCCTCTGAGTGTTGCACCTCCGAGAGGTCCAGGAGGACAGGTCCCACCACCTTGGTCCCTGCTACATCCCAGGGCCTGGGACACTGGTGTGAATGTGTTTGGAACAAAGGAATAGCTCACGCGTGTACACACACACACACACACACACACATGTGATTTGTGCAGTCTTCAGACGGTGCATGGCCTGCTCATGGGTCTCAGGGACACGGGGTGCTTTGTGGCCTCTGGCTGGGGATCCCTGCCACGGGGAAGAGCAGTGGCCCCCTTGCTCCTGGGGCTCTGCGCCCTCACAGCCCCTCAATCCCCCTTCCCTCTGCTCTCGCAGCTGGAGGGGAGCCCCGTCCGCCAGCCACTGTGTACGCAGCCTTATCTCCCAGGGCAGGCCCCGGGCGGGGTCAGAAGCACAGAGCCATGCTGTGTGTTTGCTGTTTTGGTGCTTCCAGGAAATCAGAGCCCCCTTCCCAGAAGGCCGCCTGGCCCTGAGCCTGCTGCCTAGCCACCCCCCCCCTCCGCTCCGGGGAAGCAGGTGTCCTGGGGCAGGGCGGTGCCGGGTGAGGCCGCAGGGCCAGCAGGTGAGGTGGGCCGAAAATCACTCTGCCTTCCCTGGACGAGAGGGTTTGTTCAAGTAAAGCTGAGTTCCCCTTTCCCTCCACGTCTACACAGCCTCCAGGTTGGGTCAGTACCCCCCCTTCACCACTGCTCGCACGCAGAGCTCCCTCTCCCTGTACCCTCCCCCCAGCCCCCCGCCCTGGGCGTCTTCTCGGTGGTCCCCCGCCTTCTGCCTTCATGCCTCCTGTCCCTTGTCCAGCTGTCGCCAGAATCCTTGGGTCTAGAACCTCCCCCGTCAAGGCCCCTCAGCAGCTCCACCCTCCCTCTGGGAGTGAGGAATTCAGAGTCCCAGGCCCGGGTCTGCACCCACAGCTGCTTCCTGGCTGAGTAATGCAGGTGTCCAGGGAGGGACTGGGGAGGGTGCCCCATGTCAGCTGGGAGAGGCGATGGGAGGGGAGCCCAGCGCTGAGGGGCTGGGCTTGTGCCCACGTCTTCCTGGGGAAGGAGATCCTTGAAGTCCCTTGAAGGAGGCAGATGGCTTTCTCCAGCCCAAGTGCCTGCTCTTGGTCCCTGCATCAAAGCTGGGCCCACTCTTCCCTGGGGGCTCCTGCAAGCCCTCCTGAGCTGTCACCTCCTCCATGAAGGCCTTGCTGAGAGCTCTGAGACACTGGGGACGTGTGCACTTGCGGCCAGCTCCCTGCCCACCCCCGCCCCGCCCCTCTTATCTCTGGGAAACCCTGGTTAGGAAGTCTTGGAGGGGGGCGGGCTTGTCTCCTTCTGCAGAAGCCTGGGGCCAATCCTCCCCATCCTACCAGTGACCTCCCTCGAGCCTCCACCCTGAGCGATACCTAGCAGGGGGCCCAGGAGGCCTGGTGCGGAGCCCTGCGTCCACAAGTGACAGGGTGGGGGGAGGACATGTCCTGGGCAGCCATGGGCCTGTTTCTGGGGCTTGGCCTTGCCCATGGTTCCTGGCCATTTTCTCCCGCTAGTTTCTCAGCTTTCTGCCTTAGTGAGTTTTCTGTTGCCTGAAACCAGGAGCCCTGCAAGCCAGCAGAATCCCCCATACCGGGCAGTGTGCAGCCTCGAGCCCAGGAAAGGGTGGCTTCTTCCCTTCCTCTTGTCCCTCCGAAGGCTGCCCTCTGTCTCCAGGCGGATGGCCCCACCTGAGAGCAGGTTTCCCTGGGGCAGAAACAGAACAGGGACAGTGTCCCAGGAAGCAGGCTGTGTATACCTTCCCGGGGATTCTGGGGCAGCCTCAGGCAGCAACCGCTTCCCTAGGGCCCTCCCTTCCCAAAGTCAGTGGCCAGGCCGAGCCAGCCGCCGCACGGACACGCACACACGTGCGCTGGTGCACACAACACGCTCGCACCTGTCACACCGCTCCTCCTCCTCGTAAGGCCTGGGCGGCCTCCTCCCGGCACGGAGATCGCGGAGGTGGGGGTGCTCCCCCAGGTTCAGGATCGCCTTCAGCTGGGTTCTCTACGGACACGTGCCAAAGCTGTTTGACCCCCTCTGCTCCTCGGGGTCAAACAGCTCCCTGCTCTCCCGAGGCCCTGCCGATTCCCTGCAGCTCTGGCCTCCCTGCCCCTCCGGACCCCCCCCCCCCCCCCCC